TAATCGTAGTACGCGTACCGTACTAACATTCATGCATTTGCATGATATTAAGAAGTGCATATGAATGCAATTTTTACCTCTGTCTTTATCAATCGGTGATATCGTAAGGAATTATTACGGAAACATCATTTCTGTCAAAAATTAATTTTTAGCATTTACCAAAAATGTACAGGAGAGAGTACAACAAGAAGTGAAAGCAAATTTGAAAAAATACGTTTGCTGCGTACAATTTGACGTGTTACGTTTTATAAACAGAAATGGCATGGCTAGTAAAACATGAAGATAGTAACCAGGTAAAAGGTACAGTGCTTATCATCAGCTGATATAGGTGAAACGAGATTGTTCAGTTGTGGAAAGGCAATAAATCAATATTTTAATACAAAGTAAAAATAGTGTAGATGGTTACCGCAACACATTTGTTGATTCATTAGCAGTTCTAACTCCGTTTATAAAACGGAACAAAATTTGATTGCCTATGAAACGATTCTTTCCTCCTTTAACATACCATGCTACGATTTTCATTCGTTTTGAATCTTTTGGTAGAGCTGATGAATTAATTCTTGTCTGGTAATTATGCTATGTTGCTTGTAAATGGTTTTGAACATGTTCTAGAAAAAAGGAATTGATAACAATTTTTAGCCTCTACTCGAGGTAAAAACATAAAATAGAAATTTTGACCTTTTTCTGGAACTGGCCGATCAGCTTTTGAACCGTTAATCATACTGATGATAACAGCAACCATGAGAAATTCTAATCATCGATAGCACAACTTTTACTTAGTGTACTTTGCTGTGCCTGATTTTCACAACGAGAGGTGCTTACATATTTTCAAATTGTGACCTTTTTGGACTGTGTCTTGGTCACAATACAGCAATTGCCCTGTAAACTTTTTCTTAGGCATTTGCAGGTGTTACATTGCGTAACACGATTTTTTGGATAAAAGTACGTTTATTCATCTTTTTACAATTACCTTGCCAGGATTAGTTTCAGCGACTCGCTAAAAAGAGAGCAAAGAAAAAATACTAAAAAAATTATTTAAAGAAAAGATAAATTTGTACGAATAAATAGACTTGTATTTCATTCTATGGACCAAAATAGCACAGTAATGAAAGTCTGTTCCTTAGGCGCTCCTCATCTGCCCAACAAACGAACTAACACGTGACACGTCGTAGAACCGTACGTACCAATCTATGAATTACAGTGGTGTAAGGCACAACTGTGAGGAGTAAATTTGTGATTGGTTTCATGAAAAGTACGTGAACGTATTTTACAGAAAAATAAAAAAAATCCCAAATGAGTAATCCTGCGTATCCACGCTCTACGACTGCAAATACCACAGTTGCACCATTCAATGGCACAGTAAAAAGCACAGAACCACTCCAAACCACGAATGCATCAAAAAATGTGCTTGGCACAGGTAATATAATGTTTATTTTCCTTGGGGTGCTTGTTGCGTTCTATATAATAATTACGAGTATATACATACTGTGTATAAAACCGTATGCTCATGAAAATGACGCTGTGAGGCAGGTGAGTAGGAAGAAAAGCAGGCGTACGGACAGGTCTCAAGAGGTGGTTGAGGGAGTGCAAACGAGTAAGAAGAAAAGCAGGCGTAGGGAAAGGTCTCAAGAGGTGGTTGAAGGAGTGCAAATAGATTTGCAGGAGGTGCCTTATGAACCACGGCCCTATGATTATGAAACGGTGGTGTGATAAGTTGGGTTGGTATGATAAACGCGTTGTTTAAGAAAAATGGTGTTGGTGCAATCGGAGTGTACGGCAAGCAGTACCTGTTAAGGGAAAGCTCTTCTTTTTACTCATCATCCTTCTTTAATAGTATTTTTATTCTTTTCGTACTCTCACATCAGAAATGAATCAACCAAAAATTCTTTTTGCAGTGTAACAGGCGGTAGCCAAGGTAATTTTGTTTGTGTGGTGCTGTATGAGATGAATCAAGCGCACTTTTAGTTAAAAAGAGGGAAATTGATGAACGATTGCAAGGACAAGGTGGTAATGCCTCAGAACAAGGGTGTTATGATGGGTACTACATTGCAATACACAACAATCATCTCTAACATGCTGCAGGGCTGTTCACTCGAATTGAATACTCCGCATTCCATAATCGTTACAAATCACCTTGTACGCGTAACAATGCGTGTACAGCAGGTACAATCTTTATTTCCTGTGGTATGCTAAATTATGGTAATGCTAGGGGTGGGTGTCAGATCGGTAGGTGATACCGTTAATTTGTAACTACGCAATAATAATAAAAATAATTGGTGGTAACATTAAATAATGTAAAATGCTATTATCATCAATAACACGTAGCATTACCGTTCAACATCACCATCCATAAAAATGAATAAACCACCCCCTCATCGCACAAAGAAATGATAATTCTCACCAACAACGACATCAACACACTAATAAAATCATACCTGTACGATGAAAAGTATTACCACACCTACTTTTCGTTTGTAAATGAAGCAGAGTGTGCCGATAGTATGCAGCACACGTTGAAAGAATTGCTTATGAAAGGGTTGCAGTTTGTTTATTTGGAGGAGTGTGGGAGAGGAGGTGGGACTAGGGTATGTGAGGTTGTGATGGATAGGGATGAAAGGTATTTTATGGGAAAGTGTGTAGGTGTTGTTAGGGATGTGGGAAAGGTAAGTGGTGGGGAAGGAGAAGAAAAGGTGAAGAGTGGTGGGGAAGGTGAAGAAAAGGTGAAGAGTGGTGGAGAAGGGGAAGAAAAGGTGAAGAGTGGAGGAGAAGGAGAAGAAAAGGTGAAGAGTGGAGGAGAAGGAGAAGAAAAGGTGAAGAGTGGAGGAAAAGGAGAAGAAAAGATGAAGAGTGGTGGGGGAGCGATTAAGAACGTAAAGGAAGAGAAGAAGTGGTGCGATGGTACAGCGAATCTAAAACATGACATGGTGCATAACATACGATTGGAGGATTGCATGCCATTAATTGCTCTTAAAGGCGATGAAATGGTCATAGCATACGGTGGAATGGTGGAAATTAATAAAAGGTGCTGTAGAGAGGAACATGGGAGTGCTGAGGTGGGAGAGGACGGCATGAAAGAGAATGCTTTACAGCAGAACGTTGATGATATGAGCAATGCGGAAGGGACAGGCACAAAAGATGGTAATGAAGAGGAGGGCAGTGCTAAAGAGAGTGCTCCGTGTGAAAGTGGTCACAGCACCGTGTCAAACACCGATGAGCACGGCACACAGAGGGGTGAGCGTAAAAATACGGTCATGCCGCGCACAGCGACACTTTCGGACCAGTACAGACCGATGCATACGCACCACGTGAACGATGTGATAACTGCCATAACATCAGCACCTACTGATGTTTATTACGGCACGTTATCGGGCAGCGTATTTACGCATGCTCGTACGTACAGAATAACACGCGCACCGATACTTTCTCTTAGGGTGTATGGTGATTCGCTGGTGTGTGCTGATAGTGAGGGTGTGGTGGGTGAATGTGGGTTGGATGGGAGGGGAAAGAAGGTGTACAAGGTGTTTGAGGGTGCGTGTTATGAAGTAGAAGTGATTGAGGGCGGGTATGTATGCGGATCTGGTGATGGAGAGGTTGTGCTCGTAAGTACTGAGGCTGTTGCTGGCAATGAAGACGGTGGTGATGACGTATCTGATGCTAACCACGGCACCAACACCGGTCATACCAACCATGTTACCGGTCCTACCGCTGACATAAGCAGTCCTAATATCACACTGCTCTACAAACACAGACTCTCCATAAATCACCTAACATCATCCCCAACCCACATAACATGCTCATCATCCGACCACACAACCACCCTCCTCCACATCAGCTCACCATCCAAGCACGTGTACAACGATCACACAGCATCTGTAAACGCTCATCTACACCACAACCGCTTATACACCGTGTCAACCGACAAGCAAATGCTCGTGTACGACAACGAACGGCTGGTCGAACGGTATGTGCACGATGGCCCGGTGTATGCGATGGGGTACGGCGAGTGGTACGGATTGATCGGAACGGGTACGCTTGGTAAGTGCGTGTATTTTTATGATGGGCGGATCGGCATGGTTGACAGGGTGTGTGTTGGCGTGGGTGTTAGGGAAATGGTGTTTTGTGGATGGGTGGTTGGTTACTGCGGGGTTGAGGGCGGAGTTGGTGCCGTTGATGTGAGGATGATGTATAAAGGTGGGTACTGATTTAGTTTTGTTGGAGAGATAGTGATATTTACGATGATACGTAGGGTTGGCACGATATGCTGATAAGCGGATTGGCACGAAGAATGTCTCACATGGGACATTGGTAGGGACGAGCATGCACACCACGAATGGCCCAAGCACGTGTTAAACCAAACGCTCAGCGAATGCTTCCACGTACCGTGCAAGGCTGTCATCCCCAAACACACGACCATCACAACAAAACAGCCCAACCCATTCAAAGTAAAAAGTGCATTTAATACGAACCGTTCCGCTTATATACTTTAACATCCGCATAATTGCATTCTTATCCGTTCATGCAACTTAAGGTTGCATTCTTAATCCTTTATGCGTGTTGGACCCCTTCATGCCGACTGAGAAAAAGAATGCTAAAAGGAAAAAACGTACAGTAGCGGTGAAGAAGAAGAAAGACGATGAACAAATCGAGAGTGTGGAACAGATAAGTGCACGAGGTCGGGTAGTTGATGAGGAAGGAAGTGACAGGGATGAAACGAACAGTACTACGGACAAGGAGAATGATGAGGGTAGGGATGGGGACAGCAATAGTGATGGGGGTAGAGATGAAGATAGCGATGAGGGTGAGAACGAGGATAGCAACAGTGGCGAGAGTAAGAATGGCAGAAGAGGCATTAGAAATGGAAACGCCGTGGGTAAAGGCAAAGAGAACACGAACAACAAAAAAAGCATAAATAAAAAGAAAAGCATAAATAAAAAAAAGAAGTGCAGGAAAAGAGCAACACACGGATGAAAGTGATGCGCAGCCCGGTGCTACAAAGAAACCGTCTGTCCTGTCACAAACAGAAATAGAGCAAATCGTTCTTAGCCACATGGAACTATCGTACAGACCGCATTCCATCCAAGATCTTCTGATAGCATTCAAAAATGAAATAAAAAGAGCAACGCTTGCAAGTGCGTTAGATGCATTGGTGGAAAAAGACCGTGTGATAAGCAAGCTGTACAACAAGAGTGCGGTTTACGTGTACAACTACGGCAATGCGTGTGTGAATGGTGGTGATGTACATGAAATAGAGGAACGTGTGAAGGGCGTTGAGCAAGAGATATGTGGCTTGAAAGATGGCATAGCTCGGCTTAAGGAGTATCCGTCCGATGAGCAGTTGATGCACATGATTGTAGAGCTGAGAGAAAGAAAGGAGAGGGTACGTGCTGAGATGGATGAGATAAGGAAAGCAGGTATTGATAAGAAGGAATATGACAGGGTCATGGGCATGTACAAGGAATTGGTTGGGATAAAGAAGTGCAGAATGGGCATTCTTAGGAACATCGTGGACGAGCTGTGCGAGGGGATGGGAAAAAAGAAGGGAGCGATTGTTGAAGAGTTGGGGTTGAGTGGTGAGGTACTGAAAAAGTGAAGGATTACGTTTTTATGAAGAAGAGAAGGATTGGACGAGCATTGGTTTACCGTGGTATGAGAATAAAAGCTATGGCGGAGGGGTAGAAAATAGGCAGAGTATGCCGATTAGCAGCGCAATAGAACAAATCTGCGAGCAGTTCATGCAATCAACGTTACGTAGTGCCATAGCCGTGCATTGCATGACAGAACAGTTCATTTCTACCACGGCTAACCTTTACCAGATAGCGGCACGCTTTCCTGTACCACTCTTTGAACACGGAAGGCATGGGCATAGCCAAATACTTTTACTTTTTTACTTCCTACACCGTGTGGTACTCCTCATCCATCTCCCTTACAATCTCTTCCTCCGTAGAACTTCACAACCTTCCCATACATTAACCAACACCGATCATTACTTACCTCCCTGCACTTTCACGCCCAAAACTCCCTCAATCATTTCAACAACACTCCTCTCAACCTCCACACCCTTCTCAGCATCCCTCACAACACCCACAGGCTTGTTAATTTTACCTGCCAGGTCTTTCTGTGTCATCTTCATATTCTCCCTTGCATGTACAACTATCTTAGCACTCCTTGCATCCAATTTTATAAGCTTTGGTTGTTCATCTTCCTGCTTAACGCTCTTTTTCACGTGTTTCTTGATTATTAAGGGTTTTGTATCCTGTTCTGACATGAGGGGTGTGTTGTAAGTAAATTTATTTGAGGCGATCAATTGTGACACAACAGATGGATTATTACCGTGGGGTGGTTAAGTTGTGGTAATTTTCATTTGTGTTAATGGACAGGTGATAATTTTAAGAATTTGTGTTGATGGGTAATACGTGCCTGCCCAACCACATAACTGCACCTCACCGTATTGGCATTAAATACCGTAATTGAACGCTTCACACACCACGTATTGTTCATCATTACCAGAGTGGTTCGCCCGTAGTGCCGCATTTGAAGGAATGCTGCCAGCAAACTGGAATAAACATTTTTATTGCCATCTCCTCACAGCTCCCTCTCATCCGTTCCCTCCACAAACCGTTCAAACTCATCCACATACATCAACCCGCTCCTATCCCTAACAACCGCACACTCCTCATCCAAAACACAGCAGTAAGGCACGGCACGCACACCAAAATGCTTCATAAGCTCGACATTCTCACGCACATCAATGTTCACCAGCGCAATATCACGGCCTTTGTACTTTTTTAGTTCTTCTGCCATTATTTTGCATGGATTGCAGAATGGTGCTGTGAACTTTAGGATTAAAGGCTTTTTCATTGATTTTGCGGCTGTTTTTAGATCGAGCAGGGATGCAATTGTGGATATTTGCTGTATTTCTGCGGACATTTGCTTTGGGGTGTGGGAATTAGGGATATTTTTATTTGGAAGGAACTGAGAACAGGTGAAGATAAGAGCAGTGATGTAGAAGATAGGCATAAATGAGAGTGCTGATGTGGAGGAAAGGTAGGAAAAATATTTTGTTTGTTGTTGACAGCACGCTTATCACCTTCCCATAGCACCTGAACAAAGATGAACGTGTGGGGTACATTGGTGTGAAGGAAGAGCTAAGACAGGGTGAATGGAGAGCTAAGACAGGATGGAGGGAGAGCTAAAACAGGGTGAAGGGAGAGCTAAGACAGGGTGAATGGAGAGCTAAGACAGGATGGAGAAAAGGCAAAGAATTAAATACGAAGTAAAGGTACGATGAACATAAACGTAATGAACCGGTAAAAATTAGAAAATGAATTGCAGATAAATAATTTTTGATGAATAAGATGAGCACGTGTTGATGTAGGAAATGCGAACGGGTAGAGCTGCATAAAGAGCACCGGTTTAAAATGCGTTAGTTCACCGTTTATTTACGGAACGTATGCTATCGAACGGTTTTTACACGTGGTGAAACAGCAGTAAATTAATTTGGTGTGGTTACTTCGGTACTTTTGAGCTGTTGGGTGGTGTGGATGGAAGAGAATGAGCATTTGTGGGGTGGTTAGCGGTGTTACGGATCATCAATGTAATGGTACGTAACAATGAATCGTTATACTGCACCGATCAGATCGTATCTACGGGTAAACCATCAGCACGACCATTTCATGGCTGCGCACTCCTCAAAAATTTTCATTTTTTTTGATCCCCAGAAATATAAAAATGACAGAGCAGGTATACGCGCCCATAATCGACGACACGTTCACTCTGAAAGACGCCATCACGCAGGTGCTAAAAATATCATCATCAAACAACAAATTAAAATGTGGCATCCGGCAGGTGACCAAGACGTTGTTGAGGAGCGATGCAAAGATGGTTTTTATATCGAAGGAGATCGATGACAAGTACAGGGCTGTTGTTGTTGGGCTGTCTAAGAAGAGTGGTGTGCCGGTTGTTGTGATCGAAAGTGGGGATGAGCTTGCCGATATGGCACAGCTGGGGAGGACTACGTTGGCTGATGTTAAGAAGATGCCTAAGTGCAGTGCTGTTGCTGTTACTGATTTTGTTAAGCACAGCGTGGGACGTACCTACATTGAACAGATGATGAGTAAGGGAAAGTTAGGGATGGTTGAATAAATGAGATGAGGAATTGTTTTTGACCGTGTTACTGCCGGTTTTGAACCGTGCTGCTTTGTATTCTCGTGTTTGAACCGTACCGCTCGTGATCTGTGATTGCGCTCGGTTCATTCCGCGTGCTTTATGCGCATTTGTGGATCCAACAGTTCTATCCGCTCTTCGCAGGGTTGCGCGGCATGCACCCCCTAAATGAGCTTCTTGCACTTCGGGTGCGGGCATCGTCCCCATACGAATCAATCACATGGAGTGTCACTTAAAGATGCGTACTGCAACACGCTGCACCACCGAGAACGTACGGCCATTCATTCCGCTCGTGCACCACACCAGCACGCACCTCCTCAAATTATTCCTTCTTTGTCCACATTGCCCAATCTTTCCGTTTTCATTAAAACATCAATTTATACGCCGCTGTCCCACCCACTTCATGCCACCCGCATTCTCCCCCACAATCTCGTCCAAGAAGCACAACATCGACAAACTGCTGCACCACCTCGACGGTCAAACCGTGGACCATTCGATCATCGATGCATACACGGATTGCATGTACAATACGGGCAAGAGCAAACTTGCCGAGTCGCTGCTGAAACGGGGAACGAGTGGTGGAAAGATGAGGAAGGTGTGGAAGTATGGTGAAATTGTGCTTTTGGTTTTGGCTATGATATGTTTGGTTGTGTTGGGATGGAAGGTTGTGAACTTTGTGAGGATGTGGACATGTGTGTTGCTCAATATTGCGGTCGGAAACGAGAAGTTGTTGCCTTAGGTCGGGGATGGCAGCGATTAAAATGAGGTTTGGTACGATTTAGTGTTGTAAAATGAGGTTTTGTAAAATTATGTGGAGTACACCTAGTTTTGTAAAAATAAATGGTATGGAATGAGGTTGAGCGCAATTAAATTTATTAATTGATGTACGATCGTTGATGAGGAACAATCCTTGGCCTGGAAGTGTCTTCATTTTAGCACGGAACTGTGGAATCGATTCATAGACGAGTCTTGAACAGACCAATGCAACGAACTGACAAATACGCACGAGAGGAAGAAATTAGAACGTGAACATGGGTGTGAAACGAACTATCACCTAATCAAACGATGATTGCTCGCCCTATTTGTAGGTGATGTATGCACGCACAAGTTCGCTGATAGGGACAGGGAGTGATTTGAACTGCTTCTCTGCTGCATTCCACCGTGATGCAGTGCTTAGCGGATGAATGGGTGCAATTGGAAGTAACGGATGGTGAAGCATCAGAAAAGCTGTCAGTGCTAGCAATTAGATAAGTTTTTGTAAAAGGAGGAGGATGTATTTGCTGGTATACTAGGGTGTTTGTTGGTCTGGAAAGTTGCGGTTCTGCAGTAATTAATGTTCTGCTTCTGAGAAATGCAGAGAACTAATACATGGAGCAACAAATACGCCTAGAAACGGATTCGAAGGACCATTGATCTACCTCCTCACGGTACACTCACCTATACACCCCACTTTCTTCTCACTCTCGCTGATCTACCTCAATTCTTTCTTCGATTTGCTAAGAATATTTGCAATTAGCCCTTTATACCGGGCTTATATTTCGGTGAAAACATGAGGGGAAATGTTTGGAATTGATTATCTGTTCAAAGAATGGTCTGAAGAGGAGTTTAAGGGCGAAATTGTCGTAATGTCATACGAAAAACACATTTATTTCGGTTTAAAAGCGATATGCCACGCTATAACGAAGTACTGTTCCTTCCTAACATCCAAAAACCAAGATTACAATAGCTGTGCTTATTCTATGAAGGTACTTGATCTCAGTGATGAGCGTGCGACTCAGGGATACTACGAAAAGATAGCTGCGCGCGGTAAAATGCTTAAGCATCTGAACAGTGAAATTCATGAGTGCTGGTATGGTGAACCAACGGTTGTGACCGAGGAATGTGGTGAATATAGCGTATCTACGGTCACATTTCTGTGTATGATTCTGATACTTGGTCTTGTTATGGGATTTTTCTTTTACCATCTGAAAAGACGAAAAGATGAACTTTTGGTTATGGAAACGGTGCTGGATGAGATGTGGAGTGAGGAAAGCGATGAATCGGACGAAGACGGTTCGATTCTGATACATCCTAAAAATGTGCATGTAAGGCGGATCTACGAGTACCAGAGCGATGAAATGGGTTATTGCAGCTCGTCAAACATGTAATGGTCAAAGTACTGATGTATCACATCATAACAAGTGATAATCGATGTAAATTGAGCATGTAACACCGTTTTAAGTGCGATGTGTAGGAGAGACGAACTAAAAACAACAAAAATACGTTTGGTCCGCCAATAGTTTGCTATAAAAGATTGTAGATGTGTTCCTGAGTGATTTTGTGCGTATTACTGCGATATATAACAATTCCTATAACCTGAAAGGTATGTACGAACAGAATGCGCATTTTTATTAAACGTTCTTCTTCCCACCAAAGTCAATCATTTTTCCTCTCACACATCAATAAAAAGGTTCCCTTCTCTCGTTCACTTTTTAGCAGAATTTGACTCAAAAAATTGCACCTGCACAAGGACTGCAACCATGGATGAGGCAACAGTAACATCGATCATGGCATAAAAGCAGTTGCAAACAGAGAGTAAATAATAAAAATGAAGAACAAATCGAATATAATACTAAAAATTGCACGAATGCTGAGAGAACTTTTAAAATTTGCTCTTTTATCACAAATATACCGTGAACCATTCCTCAACGACATGCTCATGTCTGTTTACCTGCAGGAGTAGCGCAATTTAAATAGTCTTTTTTGTTCACACCATCATTCTACAATTTTGTACCATTCCAACTGTTTCGTATGTTTAACTAGATTTGTTCGGCACACTTCCTGCTTGTTAGAACTGTTTTGTTTATTTTCGTGTTCCAGTGACTCTTCCACACGTTCATCAATTTTTACCATCCAATATTTTTTACTTTTCAGAATTGTCCAAAATGCTTTTTAATTCTCAGCGTGAAAATCTCAATTCTTCGATTTTTCAGTGTTTAAAAGTGTCATATTCGTTTAATTCTCCAGTTTTTTGACTAGAAAACGTTTATTTACCTCCATTCAACTTCTTAAATGCTTTTATACCGTATATCATAAAAAAGTCTGTTTCCATTTTAAAAAGTTTTACCCGTAATAGGTGCGACAAAATGGCGAATCAGTTTATATTTATTTTCATATGTACCAACTTTTCACCTGGTACCATTCATTTCCGATTCTTCGCCATGATGTCTAGGAGATTATTTTTCTACGAGCCAACACTTGAAATATGTTTTTTAGGAATGTTCGTTTACCTAGAACGTCCTACAATAACACACAAGCAAACTCTCTTGATGTGATATGCGCCTATAACAGATATAGCGATAAGAATTATGCTATTGCAGGAATATTCGCCAATCGCACTCTTTTTTGCACAACCGATTACCCGTACTATAAATACCAGTTTCGTCATATTTTGCGATATATCACAAGAGTTTCTCCTTCTTCACAAAAAGATGGTTTAAGCATAAAAATCGCAGCGCCTTTTCAAACTAATATTAGTGCTTATTTTCTGCAAAGTATAAAATTATCATTTTTATTGGTATTAACCACGCCTTTTAATGTTCTGGAGAGTATCCACGAAGATTTGCTGCAAGTCTACGAAATCAAGCAGCGATGGGAATGACAGTGTGCATTAAATATAGGAATTTAAACAGGTGTACGGCATTTCTAGAAACAAAAAACTTTCCTTTTTAATCAAAAGATCATCATGGCGCAGGTGCACCAAGCGAGCTTGCTTGATGCTTACGTATAATGCGTGCTGAACAAACGAATATTCACAAAAAGACTTTTCTCTTTGTTCATATCCTGCCATTGTAAGTTTTCTCAAAAAGTATTCGACGGATTTCGATCAAATAATTTACCTCTCGATTAAAATGATTGCTTTTTACAGCTGTCAGCCCAGCAATGGTTTTTTACGCATGGTTTACTTTTTGGTTTAGAGGTTGTTACAGTTCTGCAGCTGCTGGTAATGCACCAGTGATCGAAGGTTTGCTGAGTAGAATCGAGAATTCTGCGGAATACAATGAACCTGATGAACTTCTTTCTAATATCGCAGCTGGAGTGTCTTCAGGGCACTCAAGATACGAATATTACAATGCATGGTTCAACTTACATGTATTTCTCGGATATTTCGACAATATAGTTCGGGTGTTCGAAAATTATATCAAGAACCGCTCTGCTGATGAAGTAATAAATGTGAGTCAGCTTTTTTTTCTTGACTGCTCGCTACTCCTCAATCTTGTCCACTATTACGTGTTAGAAGCGCCGAGAAAACGTAAGTTAGAGGACTTTGAGCATATTAACACCTTAAGAAACCTCTACGATACATTATTAACCAAGCACGCTGAACAGCTTAAATGTATGGCGTACTTGCAGCGTTTTTTGCTTCATCTTTCCGGGTTGATCAAGGCACTCAAAAAAGTTGTTTACAGACATGTGTTGGACACAGACACTGAACTGCAGGAAGCAATCTTAAAAGTGCTTTCTCTGACCCTTTTTTACAAGGCAATTGAGGAAAACTTCACGTTGCCTCTCGATTGCCAGTTCAAAGATAATCTATCGCAAGATTTAGAACAGGCAGCATCTGTCGAACTTGACACAGCCCCAGAACTAAATGTATTGGACAGTGATACGAGCCATGACCTACGCAACCTTATGATCGTGGTCCGAGACACATATTTATTCATAAAGAAACAGAAAAAACTTTTTTTCGAAGGAACTGTCATTATAAAGAACGAAATTGATTGCAAATTTGTATTATCAACCGTACGAAGATACTTTAGATTTATGAAATTGAACAATAATGCAATATCTGGAAGAAAAAACAGGCTAATTCGCTTCTTTGAGTGTCTTCGACTAAAACATATGGCAGACGATATGCACAAGCTAAAAAGGTACTTTAGAATCACTATCAGAAAAAAAATTGAAAATTCTAAAGAATGGAATGCCATGTTCGATGTTTGGATGAACATATCTGAATAAGAATGACAGAACAAATGCCTGTAACCGAACTGTACACATTAAAATGAGATTATATCTGTTTGAATATAGTAACGTAACTAATATCATATATTGAACGATTCCGCAGATATTAACCTTTCTTATATATGTTGGTTAATTTCATATAATTAAAAAAGCAACTCGCAATCTGATTGTCCAGTTCTGTGGAATAAATTATTTAACCCTTCGAGAAAAATAAAAAATGCTTATTTCATGTATTTGCACTGAATAAAGGGCCTAAAGTTGTTGTACAACTCATTCTTTCTGAGATGTCCTCAATTGTTTTCTACTAACAACATCAAAATTACACGATCACCGAATAGTAGCCAATTAATTTACCCTTACCATACGATCTCAAACAATAGAAAAAACATAATACGACATATGAAGAGAAGAAAGTATCGATTTATGGATAGAACACTTTTCCAGTTTTATAAACGGAAATAGCACAGCTAGTAAAATTATAAAAATATATTTTTGCCTGTTCATTGTCAACGGTTTGTGAACTTGTGATGTCTTACATAACACGAACTGAGAGACTGAAACAAAATAAAGCTTGAATTGTTGGATGAAGTACATGAGAATCTTACTCAACCTTGACCAACATGTGCACGGCTGAACCAATACATTGTTTGATAGAAATTGTCAATGTTCTTAAGCTGCGCTATTTGGCACCAAGAAAGTCTATTTATGTATTAACAAATGATAATTAAACACACTTCTACAAATAAATTGTACCGTTTGGTATCGCTTTGCCTGTGTAACGTGTCGCACTACAAAAATCAAAAGACAAACACGTTCATCCAAGAAGACATGGTATATACGACAAAATCACTGTTGTGCAACATAATCTCTGTTTTTTGAATATTTCGATCGAGTAGCTAGAAACCTATGCTAAAGCAGATAAATTAAATGAATATAGATCAGAATGGTATCAAAATTATTTTATTGCAACCTAATACCATGTTAAAACTGTGATCTAATTTGCAATTGAAGATTTGATCGCATGTCTAAATTATCCATTTATCGCTTCAAGACAGTTTTTTGATAGAAAGTTTATTATTGTGTAGCAAGTCCGAGTAAACAATACATCTCAAATTGCTAGTAATAAGCGTGCTAGTAGCACAATTTTGGCTACAACCATGCTTACGGTCCAATTCTATCAGTATTATGTTCCTATCATGTCAAAAATTGTTGTTTTGGCCAATAATTATACACAAATAAATATGAATTAGCGGATGCACATCGTTAAAAACAGGTAAAATAGCTAAAAAATTACAGTCTTATGTGATTTATACTTTTTGATTTGTAACTTAATTAAATATTTCTATGTCAAAGTCTATAAAGTATACAAATACAAAGTAAAGCAGTCGATTGCACACAGCTACGTGTTATTTAATCCAATTGACGCTTTTATATGAGAAAAGTACTATTTTTCTGTTTGATAGTAAAGTCTGGATACAGATACCAAAAAGTAACATGAAAAAGAGTTTCGTATTATTTATAATGACCTGCATCCGAGGATTAAAAGAAACTTAAACCTTTTTCTTTCAAAAATGCGACATTAGGTGCCATAATTAACCAACTAATTGCTCATGCATCAAACTGTGCCTTGATTCTATTCAATAATATTCTTCTTGTCATTTTCAATCGTCACGCGTTTTTAATTACAACTTTAAATTTTTAATTAGAGCCGAAAAGATTATTTCGTCACATTGGACATTGTAAAGTCTCGTTTGGATGTTGTTGACGTGCGAATAAATAAATGATTCTTAGTAAAAAATAACAAAAAAAGATATCACCAAGTTATGTTAAACACACATTACGAGTCAAATTAAAAGCAATTAAACCTACAAGCATGTAGTGTGTGGATGAGGGATTTAAATACAAAAAACAAACTAAAATGTCTTGTAAATACCGGCTCTGCACAATTTTATCATCACTGTCACTGTCAAATTTATAAAATCAACTCATGTACATGTCCGTAAAAAGATAAATTATTAAATGTGTATAAATAGATAGCACGTCCCGCATGCATATGAACAAAGGAATATTGATCGGTTCGCTGATACTCTCTACGGTTCTTTTTGTCTTTTTGACATTCTTGCTCATAGTCTTGATAAAGGAAGCAAAGAATGACAAAGCAGATAAACGAAAGAGCGATGCACAAGCACAGGAACTAGGCAATAATGAAGGGGATGGCAGGAAACAGGCGGGAAACACAGTATCGAATAAGGGCAGTGGAACGGCAGCCTTATTTCATCAGCATTCACCGAATGTAAACGCGAATCAAAATTCCACTAGACAGAATAGATCGGTATCTTCTCCTGGTGATGGTGGCTATAGTCCGGCAAACACCAGTTCGAATGCAGAACAAGGTGCAAACACTCCACCGGCGAATAGCATGCCTAGAGCAGATCCATCGGGCTCGCCAGGTTCACATGCTACCAATAACTCAGCAGTCCCTCCCAATAGCTCATCAAGTTCTTGGACATGGGGAGGAGTGCTGAGTAATCTTGTTAGTTATCCAGTGAGCCTTTTCAGTTATATTACCGGAACTATACGTAGACGCTTAACAGGTAGTGATTCAACATAATGTAGCTATGGTATATTAATGAATAATCACCGTATGTCTACCACGTTGATTGAAAATACCATTAAATTAAAATGTATCAGTAAATTTATTTTTCTTATTTCGGATCATATATTGTTTATCACGCTCGATCAGCGTTACATTTAATTGTAAATGTGCAAAATCATGTGTAAGGCTTTTAATATTGATCTCAAACATCTTTGCGCTTCCTCCACCGTAATTGACATATTTATCCGCTACACAATATGTGTTAGCTGAAATAATAGAGCATTAATTGTAATACCAGACCTCCTAACATACCATGCTTGCTCGGCAATGAAAATGCTATTTTGTTTACATTACTAACAGTTAAGACAAGCATGTACAGTATTTCAGTGTGCTCTTCGTAATAATCGCATTTGTTTCCGTTCCAATCTATTCTTGCACTCGTGTATTTTCATACTTTTGGATTCTGCGCTATTCTCAGTCCATCAATTTAATTTGCACCATTTGGGTTAAATGATGTGTTAACGGACTCAATTAGAAAATTTACCTGCCACAGTGTACAAACAAAACTATATAAGAGTTATTTTATATTTTCTATTACAAACCAAAAATAAATGCACAATATCGACAACATAAGTTGGAAAAAAGAGTAATAAATGAAGAATGAACATGATAACACATGCAGCTTATCAGAATATTCTGATATTATCGCTTAACACATGAGAGATTACAAATGAGTTTAAGTGATGTGGTAGATATATTCAATACTGAGAACAGAGATTTAATGGAATTAAAGTGTTTTCGCTCATTTCTGGCCAATTTATCAACGAATGATTACTTCTTGTGTAGCTATCGGTTGGCGCTTTTTATGAATGGTCTAAATGGCATGCCTGTCATGGAATAGGCAGCTTATATGTGCAAGAGAATTTTGCTGGATAAACAACATATACCGAGAAATGAACCCGGTATTATATTTTATCAAAGACGAACTATCACGAATATGATCAAACGAACTTGATGCTGTAAGTTTCACAAAAATATTCAAAAATGCTATTTTCTTGTTCTTTGATGCCAACACCCGTCAAAAAAAATCAAAGTTGATTTAAAATCAAATAATCGTATGCATGCGTGAATGATTGGCTGTTTACATACCTTGTCGGCTTTACACCAATCCTCTTGCATTGCAGATGACAAGTGGAGCCTGAACAAAGCAGATTATGAAAAGATGGCAGTTGGTGAGAACCATGGAACCGACACTTCTGCACAGGCAGTGTTTTCTACAAAGCTGTGAATGCATGCTCTGCATAGTACTTATGGTACAGTTTGAGATAATATCCGTTTTTGAAATGCAAAATGACATTTAATAGAAACAATTCGTCTTGGCACGTCACAAGATCAGCACAAAAACAGAACAAAAAGAGATTAAACATGTAAATGATAAAATACGCTGTTAGTCTAGGTTATTATTGTAAAGGCATCTGTTGGCACATCAAATATAATAATTAATCACGTTACTCGCCTCTTGTAACATTACAATGTACAATTCGATTCCCTAGTTGGGAACGTGCAGTCAATCAATTCTAGAAACAGGAGCATGCATTTGATTGATTAACCAAGCAAGGAGATAAACTAAATCACGTACAGCACAGTACATTTATTTGATACCATATCGTTGACTCTAAGAGTTAATCCTGAGTACACAACTCCAGAAATAGTCAAAGAAGTCGAAGGCAAGCAAAAGAAATAGCATAAGCAGCATACCATACATAAAAACTTTGCAAACAAGTTGCAAATTACCTTTTAGCAGACTGATAACACTGAATATACGGTTCTTTTTGCATCTTTGCTCGCCCACTTCGATCACATAATCTGAATAATCACTTACAAGCCGTCTTTTCGTTTTCTTGTCTGCTGCACATGACAGTTGTGTCAATAAAATAGATTTAGCATGCGATATACCTCCCTTGTCTTTTTGAAGAAGGGAAAATAAGTTAGTATCACCTGTCTCGTAGAGCATCGAAGGCTTTAATTTCCTTGTTTCGCAATTAATATAAATTACAACTGCCATATTTACTCAAATGGATATATAACGTAATTTATGGTTAATTTCACAGCGGAGAGAAATATTCATTTTGAATATGGTTATAGTTTTGAGTATAAAAATGAATAAATAAAATATAGCTTTGCTTGAAAGTAGAAGACTTAGTAAAAGTTTTAGTACAGATGAGCTTGAACACATCGCCGGTATATAATTGTGTATACAATCATAGGTTATAGATTGTATGGTATATGATGTGAGCGAGTGTAAGTGCGAATCTTTGTCGGTCGTACGAAGCTTATTGATGCGTTTAGAGGAAATAATGCTTTGTTTTGCTATTCTATTAAATATTGACGACAATTTATCGCGTGATTGGAACAAAAGAATAGGGGAACAAGTTAAATTAGATGATATGAGAATGCCATGGTGATGATCTAATGCTCATCAAAATGATTAAACAATAAAGCAGAATCCTGATCTGCAACGCATAAATAGTATTTAGGCTTACTGCCAAGAAGAGCGAGATATGAATTGATTATGACAGAGTACAAATTAACATATTGTTGTAATAGGAGATAGATGAATATATTATATGAAAAAATAGCATATTATTGCGGATAAAAACATGGGAGCACGATTGTACAATAATGACCATCAATTATCCACAAGTATTACGTAATAAACTCGTCGGCAGAATAAATTCTTTAATTGTGGGTAAACGCGCTTCTATTAAAATTGTAAGAAATCTCCTCTGCAATACTCCTTGTAAGATTTGTTTAAGCACACGGTTTCATTCAAAACTATAATACAATTTAACTCTATTCTTTTCTTCTATCGTATCATCTCCTTTCTCTTCACTATATTCAATAAAGTACTGACTGTCACCCGCACAACTCAGCTTAGGAATAATTGGCGGTTCAATTGTGTCAATAACATCGAATATTTTACCGAAGAACGGATGCTTCTTGATTTTATCGATATCCGAGAGTCGCTTCTTCGGATCTTTCTCCAGGAGTTGTTCAGTAAGATCAACCGCGATCAGATCCATATCGCTGTAATTAGGTGTTTCGGTGAGGATCTTTTGGTAGATGAGGTACGGTGTCTTGCTGTAAAATGGCGGCATGCCCTTCAGCATCTCATAAATAAGAATGCCAAGCGACCAAAGGTCTGAGGATTGACCGTATCCTTCAGATTTAAGTTTTTCAGGTGCCATATATTCCGGTGTTCCGCAGAGCGTAAATGTAAGCGTGTTCAATTTCTTGGCAAATCCTAGGTCGACCAGCTTTATGTGACCCTTTTCTGTCAGCAAGATGTTTTCTGGTTTCAAGTCTCTATAAAGCAAATTTTTGCTAAACAGGTATTCTAGTGCCAGCGTAATCTCTGCAGCGTAAAAACGAGCATCTTTCAATTTAAAAGGTCCGCGCTTCCTCAGCCAATAAAAAAGCTCTCCACCGCCCACGTACTCCAAAACCAGAAAATATGATCTGGATGTCTTGAAGCTGAAGATTAGCTTGACGAAATACTTACAGAAAAAAAGTTCGTAGAGGGTTTTTCTTTCTTCGTTCAGATGATCCTTTTGCTTTAATTTTAGGAGGGTGGATGTGCTAACCGCCTTCAAAGCATAGTATTTTGAGTTGTACTCTGTGAGATACACCCGGCCAAATGTGCCCACACCTATCGTACGTATAATTTTTAGCTTTGACAGTTCGAACATTTTTCACTTTTAGGGACGCAAAAAATTTATTTTTCAAGTCATCGCACGATTGACAATAAAAATCGTGAGAAAGAGTGTAAAAGTTAAAAAAAAAGTGAGATCCACACTATACGCGCAATGTTTAATTCTATACTCATCTGAAACAGTTTATTTCTGGTTTACAGAATATACTGATCGACCGTCAAATAATAACTTCAAGTTCTGAAAACTGGAAGAAATACAATTATGGTATAGCTCTATGATCTTTCACCCTGCTCACTATAATAGTTAGCTCTTAAATGAGGTTGTATATCGCATAGAAAAGAGCAAAATGCCCTATCTGTGTTTTTAATATGTGATGGGAACAAAACGATATTTAACGACAAAAAAGTAAACATAATTTACCTTTTTAAACATATGGTACTACAAAATAAACATAATCATGAGAGCATCGGCAATATAGCGGTAGTAACATAGTACATAAGAAACAAGTCAGGTATGAAGCATGTTAGCGCGAGCATACAATTGAATGAGACCGCTGATTGTAACTACTAATTTTCATGAGTATTTGATATTTTTCCTGTCACGGCCTTTAAACCTTTTTAATTGAAGTAATATATCAAAAAACGTTCTATAAAATGCTATTGTTCGCCAAGAGAATATTCACTTTCTCTATCATTTTATTTATATAACAGAAGGGATTTAATTAAGTATCATCGTACGAGCTGAATTGCAGTGTGCAAAACACATACTAATCGTTCTCATCACATGATGCATTTCGGATAATAAACATTAAAACGGTAGTTATCTAAAATGCTAAACTTAGCCAGAACTATTTGTGGTTCACTAATCACCAACATAAGTAAAAAGACAACTCAAAAGCTGATTGATCAGCTCGAGGGAAGGGAATTATTTTACCCATCGAGAAGGATCAAAAATTTTATTCCACATTTTCACGCAAAATAAAAGGTCAAAATTTGTTTTCCAATCTATTTTTTGCGATGCACTCGGTTGTTCTTTACGAACTACATCATAATGGCATGATTACTAAACGAAGATTATTTCTTGAACTTCTACCAAAATATTGAAAACAAGTTAAAGTGATCAAGGCATAACATGGCGTATTAAAGGAAGGAAATTATTTAGTAATCAGTCAGACTCTATTCCTTTTTATAGGGGAAATAGCTCAGCTGTTTTATGCTAAATATTCTGCCTGTTTGAGACTAAGCGCACTTAAAGTTTGGAAAGTACGCAAATCCTTTTTAAAGCTTGTTGTCGTTCCACATTGTGCATGTTTGTCGTAACAGAGAAGGCGCTGCTA